TCAGCCTTCCATCCTTCTGAAGTCGGTAAAATGAGGACCCAGATTGTTGGGGGAAATATGCTGACTCTGTAAACTGCTTCAAGAGGAATGTAAAGCACTGTGAATATATAAGTGCTATAGCTAGTGCTATTGCTATAATGGAAAAAAGTGAGTTATAACCAGTCGTCACACTTACAACATACACACAGCATCCCATGGTCATGTGATCCAAATCTGGGTGCTTGGCAACCAGCATGTATTTACAACAGTTGCAGCTTCCTGGGGTCATAGGATTACCACTCGCAATCTTTGCCTAAGCCAGATTCACTTAATGACAGTATGACTCATTTAACAGCTGTGGTGAGTCTCTTAACAACTGTGGCAAAAAAGCAATTGCTCATAAAACTGAGCACAACTCACTTAACAACCACCTTGCTTAATAACAGAAATTTTGATCTCCATTGTGATCGCAAGTGGAGGACTGCTTATATACTTTATTCCAGTAGTTCTGGTCCTGTTTGCCAGGGAGTCTGCCTTAAAGGCTGTGCTGAAAGGACATCTAAATAAGGCAGAAGCATTGTTGTTAAGGAGAAAGCTTATTCTGGATGGGGTTGCGGTTCTCTACAAACAGACTGGCAATTGGAGAGAGCACTTTGCGTTCTGCTGCCACTGGATTTGCAGGTAATAGTACTATTAGGAGTGGATTTGCACACATATGGCTCTAGTGCCAACTACAACCCTTCCTGAACTGACCTGGTTTAGCAACAATTATCATCACCCTGGGCACAACTCATATTGATGAATGCAATGGGACTATTTTTAAAAAGCATCTTAAAAATGTGAGTGGTCTAAAATGTGTTAGCCAGATTTCTAATAGGAACCAGATATAGGGACAAGGTGTGCTGGCTACCAATTATCCACCATCTAAAGTGCTGAGGCTGACCTCTGAAGTTTTAAGCACCTTAGGGCCTCCCTGTCTGAAAGACTAACTTTACCCTTAAGCACTTGCCCATTCAATTCCTGTGTGTGTGTTTGTGTGTGTGTGTGCATGTGTGTCAGGGGTAAGTTCCTGCCACTTCTAACCTCTTCTATAGAAGAGGTTCCACAAATCTACAGTGCCATTTAGAAACAGTTCCAGCTCCCCCCCAGCCCCCCCCCCCCGTCAGCACATCATCAAGAT